TATAATATTTTCAAAAATATATATATAATATCAATTAAAAATAATCTTAAAAAATTAAAAGAAAGTAATTTAAAAAGAATATATTTTTCTTTTATTTCTATAAATAAAAAATAATCTTATATAATAAAAAAATACTTGTATAGTGATAATATTTATATTATATATAAAATAATTAAATAATATAACATTATATAATATTTTAAAAAGAAAATCTTATTTACTAGTAAAATTCAAATTTAAGTCTTAAAATTAGTTACATAAGTTTTTTTTTGAAATTTATATACTATTATATAATTGCTTCTGTTACTTTGTAATAGAAGTTAATAAAACTTATTTTTATTAAATAATATAATTTTCTTTTTTAGAAAATTTGTAATATTTTGTGATTTACTTCTATTGTAAAATAACAGATTAATAGTTAATTTATAATAAAATAAAATATATAAAAATTTGTAATTATTATTATTTATATTTATTATATTTTTTAACTAATATTTCTTTATTTTTAAAAATTGATTAACTTTTATTTCATTAATATATAAAAGCTATTTGTATAATTTTTTTAATATACTTGATTTTAAATTAGAAGAAAATAAATATGTTTATATTTTGTAAGTAAATTTCTTAAATTTCATAAAATCTACAATCCAAATATAAATTATAGTCTATAATATTCATAACTTATAAGGGCTGAATTATTATTAATCTATACAAACATATATTGCATGTAATATAAATTTACTTTTAGTATATACAATGTCTGATAAGAAGTCATTGATCACGTAATTATTAATCATTATATATTTAGCTTTAAAACCTGTTATGTTAACCATTTTCTTATTAATATATTTCTAGTTTTTTATCATGTATTACTAAAACCTTTCTTATTTAAACATGATTTTTATAAAAAAAAATTTTTTATTTTTGAACATGATGAAATTATTGGTACTTAAAAGGTAAAATAAGTAAAAGAAAGGTTAGTAAAGCTTTAAACTATGCTTAAAGTACTATTCATAATATTATTCTACTTTTAAAAATTGTAGATATAAAATATTTCCTCTTAAAATTAATAGATTGCCTATAATAACTGAAAAAGATAATCATTATTTAATAAGAATTCTTAAAGAAAATAGAAAAATAAACCTTTAAGAATTACATAAAGAATTTGTCAATTCTACTTTAACAAATTTTAGTAAAAACTTTAAGCATTTATCTTCATGAATAAGATTTCTATGATCAAATTAGTGTAAAAATACCTTTCGTAAGTAAAAAATAAGCAAAAAAGGCTTACCTAAATTAAAAATAAAAAGAGTGGATAAATTAATAGAAAACTGTCATTTTAGTGATCAATTCAAGTTTGAAGTATTTAGAGAAAATAGTAAAAAATAGGTTTAAAGGTAGCATCATGAAAAATATAATATAAAGTATTTAATTTTTACAGTAAAGTCAAATCAATAAGGAGTAATGGTATAAGGATATTTTCTAAAATATAATCTTAGTTTATTAGTAAAATTAGAGAGAGGTAATAGTTGCATTATATAAAAAAATTTTAAAAAATAATTTAAATTCTATTTATAGAGAATTTAGATAATCAGAAGAATTATTTTTTCAAGAGGATAACGCTTCTATACATACTGCAAATATTATTAAAAGTTGAAAAATGAAATATAAAGTGAATAGTATTCCTTAGTCTATACAGAATCTGAATCTTAATCTGATAGAAAATTTATGAGATGAATTATAAAGGCAGATGTAAGCATATACTTTATTACCAAAAACAAGAAAGATTTATAGAAAATACTTTAAGAAGTGTAGTCAAATTTTGATATTAATAAATATCAAAATCTTATTAATAGCATGTCTTTTCGAATTACTGCTGTTACAAAAAGTAAAGATTATTTAACAAATATTAATAAATAGTAAAGTTTTTAAAATTTTTTATTAAATTTAATGCAGTAATGATTAAGTAATTTAAATTTAAAAATTTGCATTAAAATTAATCAGCATCATGTGACTAGTGATTTATTGCTAGATATTATATATCATAATAAGTAATACCTTCTATAATTATATAATTAAATTTTTATTTATTTTACAAATAAAAAACAAATTAAATAAATATTTACTTTTTAATTCTTTTATTTTATCAATAATAGTTTAAAATATATTAAAATTATTTAGTTAATTAGATTTAAAAATTAAAAAAATATTATTAAATTTTCTTTTATAACTCAAGATCTAAATTATTTATATAATTAAAAAAATTTGTATTTTTCTATCATGTTTAGTTTATCTTATATAAATGATTTACATTTGTGCTATATTATACTTTATGTCACAAAGTTATTTGTTATTTTACAATCTATCTGAGAGTCTTATTTACTTTTAATTTACAATAATAATAATAAAATTGAATTTATTTATTAATTAAAAATCAATAATAAGACAGTTTATTTTATTAGAATAATAATAATGATTATAAAAATATATATCTTTATTGATGCTTTGATATTTGAATAATAGATTCAATATTGTAAATTTATATTAATAATAAAAAAAACTTTTTAATCTATAAATTTTTTCTTTTGCAATTATATTATATGTATTAAAAATTCTTCTCCTTAAAATTATTATATGTTGTATGTATGTGTTAAGAATTCATTATATATTCACTTCATAATTTAGATTTTCTTTTTTAATCTGCTATTTTGCTTTATATCATATATTACTCACATGAACTTTTGTTAAAAAGCAATACTTCTGAATAATACTATTCTTTTAATATAATGTTTTAGAATAATGTATTATATTATTTATCATTTAATTTTATTAAATTTTCTATCAAATTATAGAATAATATAAAAGAAGATTATATAATAAAAGATTAATCTACTATAGAAAAAAGAAAGATAAGTAAAATGTATCAAGATTTGAGAAGAATAGATCAAATCTGTTCTTATTGAGAGTCAAATTTTAGATAGATGAGAAAATTCATAATAGAAGCTATGTTGTTATAATCAGATTTTCTTATAGTCAATTATATGTTATATTTTTACAAATTATTCATATAAAAATATCAAAGTTCTTATTGATTAGAAAACTCTTAAAGCTATTAGATAAGAAATGTAATTTATAAAGAAGTTTTTGTATAGTCATATTAAATTATTATTTTTTATTTTAATTTTTTTTATCGATATTATAAATAAATTTTTTAATTATATAGATTATCTGATTTTATTTGCATCATCTTTAAAATTTAATATAAAGTAATAAACTACAACTAATTATTAATTAAAAAATTAATACAATTATTAGTTTTTTATTTAAATATATTTATTATATAATACTATAAATACAATATCACATTTATTTTAAATAATTATTTTTTATATATTTTTATCAAAATAATTTTAAATTTTTAAATTCAATCTTCTTATCAATAAGATATTTAGTTCAATAAAGTAGTTTTTCTATTTTATTTTATTATTATATTGAATCTTTAATCTTTTTTAAATAAAAAAATATAATATCAATTTTTTTTTGATTTATTATTAGAATTATATTTTAATAATTTATATTTCTTTTAATATTTTTAATCTTATATACAATTTTTATTAACAAATTATTTAATAATATCATTTTATATTACTACTATAAAATTATATAATAATTTTATGTAAAAGTTTAAAATCTTTTATAATTTTTTACTTAATCTTTTTTCAATATTAACTTGTATTTTATTATCTATATCTTTATTTTTATTATCATTTTTATTATCTTTATTATTATTATCTTTTTATTTTTATCATCAGTTTCATTATCAATATTATAATCTTTATATTTAAAATATTATCTTTTTCTTTTTTTATATTTTCTTTCTATATTTGTATATTAATTGTTTATATTATTTAAATATTTCTTTAAATTTATTAATTAATATATAAGATAATAAGTAAATTATAATTTATAAGATTTATTATATTATTTTTTAAATTTATATTTATATCTTTTTCTTTATTTTTTCTTTTTTCTTACTATTACTTAATTCCTTTTCTATTAATATCTGATATTTTTTTTAATATTATAATAAGTATCTTTTATTATAAAATTATTATTTGAATAATTTTTTAAATAAAATAAATTTTTACATAAATGTAAGTTTTCACTTATTTTATAAAAATTAATTAAAAATTAAAAAAAAATGTTTTGTAGTTAAAAATTTAAAATGTATAAGTAATAAATTACAATATACTATACTCTGATCAAATCACATATACATAAACAATTGCTTACACTAATCACTTTTGCTAACTAGTATTAATATAAGATTATGTTTTTTGCGATACAGATAGCAAATTTTTTATTAATTCATTCTATGTTTACTTATCTTCCAATTTTACAACTCTGATTTTAAGCTCAAAATTTTCAGCCATAATTTTATTATTCTTAGCTTTAATTTTATTATTCTCAAACTCAATCCTGATAATGCATATTTCAATAAATCAGCCAATCTGAAATCATGTATTTCAGATTGTATACTTATATAATATATTATTAGTATGTTAATATTTAAAAATAAAAAAATGTGATTTTTCTTTATGGCCTGTAAGTGAAATTTGCCAAGAAAAGTTTTTTATTAATACATGCAAAAATAAATACAAAAGTTCAGAAACTTGCTTGTAATACATGATATTTTTATAATAAATATATGAAAAAATCTATATTAGCTAATTATTATATGGTGATATAGAAACAATAAGACTTGGATTAACATTTTAGGACAGATGAGAGGTAATTAATCTAATGCCTGCATTAGTAAACTCTTATTTACAATTATAATATTTCTCAAAGTTAAAAAATATGCATAAAAGACTTAACTTATAATATATTACTTAGTGATAGAGGGATTTCTATATGATCAATATAAAAATATCATAGTATACTTGTCAAATTTTTTACAAGAATATTTAAGTATATAACTGAACTAGCAACTTGAATTCTTACTATATTAAATTGATTACCAGTTGACCTACATAAGGCACTAATAAAACTAGCTCCATCCAGTATCTCTTTTCATAACTTTACATTATTAACATCTTTTTTAGTTTCATTACAAATGATATGTGAAGATTCAGTATAAATTAATTCAAAAATTTTATCATCCTGTTTTATTAATCCTATAATATTAGGCTTCTTTTCCATCTGCTTTTTGATTACTTCTTAATTTCTTTGAGTTTTACTTACTAAATTTTAATGCTTAGCTCTATAATATAACAAAAATAAATTATATAAGTATTTTATATCTTACATGATTTTATCAGTTTTTTTACTCTTAAGCAGTTATATCTATTTGGAAGATTCATCAAACTTACTTGAAGTAATAGAACTATAATATTTATAACTTAAGTCCCTTCACTTTATTCACTAAGGGATATACTTATAGCAAATATCAGATTACTCTATATCTTGCCATTAGTGAAAAAGAATATATTGAATATTATGATTATTTACATAAAAAATGGTGAAAGTACTTATAACACAACTAAAATATATTTCGCAACTTTTATTAAATCAAATTTATTCTCTTTTCAAGATTTATTATATAAAATATTTTTAGTCATTCTTGAAATAACTGATTTGTTGAAATTTTCAATGAATGAATTACACTTAACCACAATCAAAATGGAAAGATTACATTTTATTTTCTCACATAGTTTCTAGTTTAGAAAAATTGAATAGATATAATCAATATTAAGAAAATTCACTTAAACACTCTCTTACAGATTAGTTAGGTATGACTAGTCAGGAAAGATTATTCTTAGACATTTTTCTCTATCACTAGACATAATTATATTGAATATACAATAATTTCTTATCATAAAGACATATTTCTGCCTGCGCTTAAAAGTATTTATCATTTTGAATTATTATTAAAAATTATACTTATCTCTAGATCTTATCATATAAGTTGTAAGATGTTGATATTATTAACCTTTTTCTTAAAAGCATCATAGAGAGATACATTATCTTCTATCATTAGATGTTATTAAAACAAAGTACTTTATAAACTTTGAAGTATATAGGAATAATAATAAGCTTTTCTTTTAATAAATCAATATTTTGTCTTATTTCTTCTTTTGTATTATCAGGTGTCAAATTTTTTTCTAAAAGCTGATTAATCTGTATGAAATATGTTCTAATATTATAATATTTTATACCATATTTAGCACCTTTATTATGTTTTATCTTATAATACTTTTGTATTTACTTTTTATCTACAATAGGTTATATTAAATACCAGTATATATTAGTAATTACGTAAATATAATAAATGTGAATAATATTTTGCATATGTATTATCAGATATTTTAATCAAAAACAAGAACAGTCACACATAGCTAGAAGGTAGTAAAAATCCTCAATATCTGAAAGAATTTTCTAATAACATCACTCTTCTAGACTGATATTTCCTGACCTTAGTAATAATATACCAAAGTTATATCTTTTATAACTATCGTAGTTTTATCAATCAAAGCAATTTATATATCATAATTTCATCTATTATTACTAATTTCTGATAAAATCTCTAAAACCTTTAATTTTCATTTAAAATTTTCTATTTTTATTAACTATGACCTAATCACTCATTATACTATTCTTCTAACATATTTGTATAGGGGTAAATTATTTTTATTCATTATATGATATATAACAGTAGCAGAGCATATAGCGTCAAAAGATCCTTTTAACAAAAGAGTTTTAATATTAGCAATTAAATTTGTCATAATAAAAATTTGTTAGTAGTCTAATAATATATCTTAGCAACTTGAACTAAAAATTTTGTATACTTGCTCTTTTAAATGATTCTATTTTATGTCTCTTTTAACTCGTATTAATGTTGGAAAAAAGATAGAAGAAATATGCAAGGTACTTTACACTAAAATTTTATGTTTAAGAGTAAAACATGTAAAATATGTATTATAGATCTTAATATTGCAAAGATATTAAGAAATATACATATATATACTTTTTTTATTTCACTTATTCGATTACTCAGTAATAAAGTTCTAGTAATAATATATAAATATACTCTGGTCAGAATCTAATAGCTATAGCTTTAGAGAAAATAAACTCATAAATACTATTCACTAGAAAAAAATTTGAAATATTTTTTGGGATTGATTTCTTATATATAAAAATTAATTTGTTACACAAGTAGTCACATAGAGTTATAGATGATTTGTGATATATCACTTATTATATCATATATACTTTAACAAGAATCAAAAATATGCTAATTTATGTTATACATACTAATATGCATTGTAGCTGAATAATAAATTATTTGGTCTTAAAGAAATCCTATCAGAAAAAAAATAGCTAATTGAATATATTTATAGAGTTTTTTTTGTAAAAAATATATTTTATAGCTTTATGTTTATATAAAATACTGATTATGTTATTGTTAACTTTTTGAGGATACTTTAGTCATGCTTTATGACTATACCACCAGTCTCTAGATAGTGAAGTATAGATATTTGAGTCAACTTGTCTCAACAGTTCTTTTCTGATAAACTATTTACTAATATGATTTTCTTTAATATCAAGATAATATTTGAGATTCTGTATCTATTTTATCATAATACACTAATCAAATATACTAAAAAGAACTATATAACCTTTCTATTATAATAATTTCTTAACATATTCAAAGGTTATCCAATTTAATCAGTATGCTAATTGAATTTATTTCTCTTCTGCCAAGTTTTAGTATTATATAAGATATAATTATATAGCATGTAAAAATAATCAGCTTTCCTACTATCTTTTATTAGTTTTTTTATTAATATAATAATAATATTCATCATAAAGAATAATATTTAAATACTTCTATCTCTCAGGAATACCATCATTCCTCACTGCTTTCCAAATTTGTTTTACCAAAGATTCTAATCTTTTCTTGTAAATTCTATAAGCTCGCTGGATAACTACTGCATAGAAATTCTTAAACTGATAGTTAAATTATCTTGCAATTAAGAATTGCTAAGAGTGTTTCATTAATTTTCCTGAACTTCTTGAAAATTACTTTATTAAAATAGTTATAGATTAGAGAATTTAACTCAAAATAGGCAGATCATACATAGTATTTTGGCTAATTTTTCACAGGCAATCATTTATATAGATTATATAGTACAAAAAATAAATTGTATTTCAGTTGAAAGCAATAGTCTATAATTAAAATATTTTTCAGTTAAACTAGTTAAACAATCATGACTTTTATTTTATCTCTCAATCTAAGCACTGTGCCTTTGACAGATTGAGATAGTTTAAGTTATTTTGTTTTGCGTATATAGATAAGATAAATATTTCACTTTCACTTATTTTATCAAATTGCGGGAAGGAATCAGATATAATTTTTTCAGGATATAATATCCCCTTCTGGTCAGAAAATTTTTCACACAGCTTCTAAAAGACAAATGAGCATACGGTAATGAAAAAATGTGTCATTTATATAAGTATTTCCTTCACATAAAAGAATAAAGGTATATTCCTTTTCTTGTTAATGATGCCATTGTTAACAAAGAACTTGTCTTTTTTATTTGCATTACATTGAATTAAATACAAGTACAGGACTTATGATTCATATCCTATTCACTTTACTAAGAAAAATTACACTATTCTGATTTTGAGAAAGCAGATACTTCTTTTTTTTGAACCATGAGAAAAAGGGTATTTCTCGCTGGCACTTTTCACATTGCAGTATACTGTGATCCTATTTCATATTTGAGTAAAAATTATTTTTTTGTTAGAAAAAATAATGTGCGTAACACCTACTCATAAAATAAATTCACGTGACTTATTACGTTAACAACTTGATTTAATTTTTATCAAGGGGTGTGATTTTATGGCTTCGAGTATATCATGTGATTTAAATATCTTGGCTATAACAATTCGCATTTCGCACAGTCTTTATTTGATGTTCAATATACAGTAACATTGTTGTACAATATATATATTTTATAATTCGATAATCAAAATTAAGTTCTTTAATGTACTGTACCTGCATGTGTTTTGATTTAAAACAAAAAATGGAATATTTTCGTCAAATTCCGTTAAGTTGTACATGCAAAGTCTGCGTAAGTTTGTTGTCGATCGATAAAAAAGGAATTTCTATTGCTAAGATTTTTGCGCTACGTTATTTTGTTTGGATTGATTAATTTCATTGTAA